GACCTGATTATCCCATTAGTAACGTCTTCCAACTATTCCCCACTTTTCAGCTCCCCTAAAAGTGCCACCATTTGATTATTACATCATATGACTCTGTGAGGAACAATAGCATACAAAGCATAACATTAATATTATGGATGTGTTGAGTTAGATAAAATTTATCATTAAAATGAAAATCACTTGATTTTTATTTTTCTTCTTTAATGTAGTTAAAAAAAAATCTCACCCTTAAACTTGTATATATAGCTCACATTGCTCACATTTCTTTCTATTGGGCATCCCTGTTCTAAAGTCAAACTGTTTCTGTTTAAATACAATTAAGACAATGCCTTTTTTCCATTATATGCATATCTGCAATACCATCACTATGGAGGCTGTGAGGCAGTATGATTATGAGTTTTAGGATAACCTGGATACATAGTAAGATGTCTCAAAGGAAAACAAAAACAAAAAAAGGACTGTTCTTTCCAATAATGTTTTTTGTTTGCACACCACACAGTCACATCAAACTATAAAAGCCTACTTGGTGTTGTGTACTGTTTTCCCTGAGATTAAAATCCTTCTTCTTAGATGGAAGTTCCTAATCAATATATGTCATATTGTTGCTTTATACTGCTGTAGGTCTTGAATCAGATGAGCATAATTTAAGTAGAATGAGTGTGTAGTGTGAGTCTGAGAGAAGCAATTAAGACAAAGCTAATAATACTAAGATCTATACAGAGTTTGCACTTAGCAAACATCATTACTTTAATTTACTTTGCAATGAAAGGTAGATTAATATCAGAGATATATGCATAGTCCCATGCCCATCCATATATACACAGAGGGAGAGAAAGCTGTGATTTTTTTTTTTTTTTTTTTTTTTTTTTTTTGCCATGGCCTCATTGTCTTTATACTATCAATTTTCCAGAGGAATACTACTTCCCTGTTATATCCCTAAATGGGATAATTGGCAATACATAAATTAGGATGGGATTTATCACTTACTAGTTAATTTTCTACAAAAACAATTTTTCTGGCCACTTTTCATCAGGAACAAATTTGCTTGGCTCTTGCATAAAACATGTTTTGAAATACCTGTACCTATTAACTACTCCAACCAATTGCATGTATAGCAATGTTATCAATATCATTTTCCAAAAGTAATCTCATTTTGGAATTGTTTAATTAATGCTAAATTAAGACTGCTAAAATTGTCTTTGAGTGGAACTTAGGAATGATGAATACCTTAAGAGTCTTGACTAATTGGCAGCTGTCACCCATAATAGAAATGGAGCCACAGGATGAGTGGCTTGACAGACTGCTTCTTTTGCCCTTGTGTTCTACTTGATATCCTTAACTTATGGTTAGTGAATCATTATGAGAATTACTTTATGTGGTGATGCTCTAAGTGGGATTTCACTAGGTTCTTACTCTGGGAAAACTCGGATCTAAAAAAAAAAAAGTGACAAAACGTCTGTCTTCACTGTTGTGCACAGTAGTGACTGTTAGGTACAGAAGAGCATGAAGAGCATGATGACTTTCAGGTGAGGAGAGATAAAAAGGTCACAGGGTCTCAGATTTATAAGTGTGGCTGGGCAAGAAGGCTTTTCTGGCTTGATTCCCTGGTTGTTACAAGAAGTAATTTTCTTTTCTTTTCTTTTTTCTAATAGTTATTTTTTTTCTGAGACTTGATTTCCTTGTGTATCCTTGCCTGTCCTGGAACTTGCTCTGTAGCTTTAAACTCACAAGATTTGCCTCTCTCTGCTTCCCGAGTGCAGGGATTCAAGGCATGTACTGCTACCACAACCATCACCCCACAAGAAGTAATCATCAAATAGAGGGTCTTGCTGTTACTCAGAGTGTTTCAATGGTCTTTACAAAGGAGTTCTTAGATAAGAAAGAGCACAGCTCTATTGTCCTAAGTACCCAATCCAAATGGAAAAGCAGGATGATGCTTAGCCATGGAGAGGCTCTGGCTCCATGGATTCTACTAAATCACTCAAGCATGTTTATAATTGACTAGCACGGGCAGAAAGAGAAAGAAGAATGTACTTCATCTGTCCTTGTTTTGTTTTTCAATATATATAGCTTCACAAGAAAAACACTTTAACCCAAACTCTAGGTAAAAAGTATTTGATGTCAATAATCAGACTTTAAAATAAATGTCTAGCCAGTCATTGGTGGTGCATGCCTTCAATCCCAGCACTTGGGAGGCAGAGAAAGGTGGATCTCTGAGTTCAAGGCCAGCCTGATCTACAGTGTGAGTTCCAGGACAGCCAAGGGCTACAGAGAAATCATGTCAAAAAAAAAAAAAAAAAGAATAAACAAAACAAAAACAGTGTCTAAACACTATTCTGAAAAGACTCTGAAAGTAATGTTTGTTTCACTGACTTTAATGTGTGAAATCTATTTCTAAATAATGACCAAAAAGTTATTTTAATTGTCTTTTTCACATTGAAATAATTTATTTCATAAAAAGAATAGGGAAATCTACAGGGATCCACAAAGATGACCCCAACTAAGAATTTAGGCAATAATGGAGAGGCTACCTTAAACTCCCTTCCCCTTTAACAAGATTGATGACTACTTTAAGTGCCATCATAGAGCCTTCACCCAGTATCTGATGGAAGCAGAAGTAGAGATTCACAACTAAGCACTAAGCTGAACTCCTAGAATCCAGTTAAGAGGGAAAAGTGATGAGCAAAGGTGTCAAGGTCATGTTGGGGGAACCCACAGGAACAACTGACCTGAAAAAGTGGGAGCTCACAAACCCCATTCTGATAGCTGTGGAACCAGCATTAAGACCAAACCAGGCCCCCTGAACGGTGAATGTCAGTTGGAGAGCCTGGGAAATCTGTGGGGCCTCTGACAATGGAACCAGTATTTATCCCTTGTGCATGAATGGGCATTGGGAGCCCATTCCCTATGGAGGGATACTCTCTCAGTCTAAATACATGAGGGAGGGCCTAAGTCCTGCCCCAAATGATATGGCAGACTTTGATGATCCCCCATGTGAGGCTTCACCCTCCCTGAGGAGTGCATGGGAGGTGAAATGGGGGTTGGTGTGAGGGATGGGAGGATGGGAGAGAGAGGGAACTGAGATTGGTATATAAAATAAGATTGTTTTAATTTAAATAAAAAATTAATTTTAAAAAATCATGACTCCCCTAACCATAAATTTTGACTGTGTTTACAGTACTATGCATGAATTCCCTTCTGTGTAACTGGCCTCAAACAAATTGAGACAGTGGGTGCTTACACTCATAAACAGTCTTGCCACTATTGTACAGGCACATCTTGTCTGGCAGGTCAGTGTTTCAGTTCTGGGTAAGGCTATTGATGCCTTGCCCCCAGTACCCTGCATAGATGTTACTGTTATAAGATCTGTTTCTCTATGTCCTACAACCAAAGTATAGGTGTCTTCAAGCAAAAGAGTCTTGCCATTTAGTTACTGTGGGAAATCAAGAGCAACAGCGATAGCCTATACTTTTTGGAATGTTTCTGGGCCTTCCTGACCTTAACTCACAGGAAGATAACTTGTGCCTCAGGTAACATGGAAGTTTTTACAAAACACATGGAAAAAGTATTTTTCATGCATGTGGGTTCCCTCTGTTTAAACTCTTCTCTTTAAACTCCAGGATATATATATCATGGAACTCTCTCTGTACACCAGACTGACCTCAAACTCAGAGAGTCGCTTGCCTCTGCCGACTGAATGCTAGCATTTAAGTTGTATGCCACCTCCACTGTTGAAACCATCACTGGGCTTTTGGTTCTATTTTTAATTAGCTTTCAAGCTAGCATAGTGGGTTTCCATAAGGCTTGTTCATATACTCTTAAATTGGTTAGCACAGTCCTTATCCCTACATTTCCTTACCCAGTACCCTCATCTCTGCTTAAACCTTTGGCTGCTGGTATGCACCCCCTACACACTCACACATCCTTTTATATCGTGTGTATTCTACAGTCTTTTCATTATATTTTGTGTTGCGTTGCAAGATTTTAGGTTCCCAAAGACCTTCGTGCATACCTCCTCTTGGCTGACATTTCCTCTGCTCCCTCATTTTGCCAATCCTTTCAACGCATTGCATCATTGTGACAACCATTAATTCTAGAAATACACTACTAAGTCAAAAATAAAAATTGCATGCTTTAGCTAAGACAAAATGCTGCCCATAGAAATGTTATTTATATTTATATTTTTTTCTTCTTCACTTGCAGACCAGTATTAAAATGTGTCACCTAAATGTCTACCATTTGGTAGTTACCAGCTGTGCACGAGGGTCTGTGCCAGTCATCCAATGTGTCCTGTGTACAGCCTCAGCACTGTCTTACTGAATGGGTATTTTCTTCCTGGAAACCTAGCTTCAGGTAATAGCTGCCAGCCCCAAAGTGTCCAGATTCCTAATGTTTGGACCCAGGAAGACTTCACTGTTTAGTCACAACATGTCAAGATCTCTACTATAGTAAAATCTAGGAGTGCAAAACATTTTTGAAATATTTGATTTTTATATTTCTCTTTGAGCCATATCTATTGCTCAAATTTCCAAACATACTTAAAAGTCACATTTTAATTCCTGCTCTATAGTTTTGCCACAAAAGCATTCATAGAGGGAAAAAAATTATTTGGGATTTACCTCAGCTCAGTTTCTTTTCAACAGGTCATTTTCTTTGACCAGGTCAGACTTTTTGTCAATGTCCATATAAGTATGTAGAGAGTTTTACAGGGGAGAGAAACAAGCTATTCAGAGGAAACAAACCTATGTCTTCTCAGAAACTTTCCTTGCTGCTCAGCTCTCTCTCTCTCTGTGTCTCTCTCTGTCTCTGTCTGTCTCTCTCTTTTGAGTGTGTGTGTGTGTGTGTGTGTGTGTGTGTGTGTGTGTGTGTGTGTGTGTAGAAAAATATTAAGACCTCCAGAAAAGAGAATCAAGAGAGGAGAACAGGAGGGGCGGAGGGATAAAGGAAGGAAGGAAATGAGGGAGGGACACACACACACACATACAAGACAGAGAGAGAGAGAGAGAGAGAGAGAGAGAGAGAGAGAGAGAGAGAGAGAGAGAGAGCTGCCTTATAGCTGCTAAGACTGCGGACAGAAATAGCACAACCACTGTGAGCTGTGCGCGACTCATTTTATCCAAGACCACATTTTATCTACTTTCATTAATCAGTTGCTCAGAAAGAAGGAAATGACATCTGGTCCATTCTTCTTCTGCATCTTCATTATTGGAAAATATTGTGAGTATGTTCAGCATCTAATTTTATGTGCCTTAATGCTTCGTAAAATAATCACAAGTACAAAATGTGCATTCCTTACATTTATGCTTTTAAGCTAAAATGCATGCTCTGATAATACTGCAGTCTTACTTTAGAATCATTCTTCTTAGTATATTTCTGATGTTTGTACTGGAATATCCTGTCATAACCAAAAGTTAAGCAAAACTAACATGTTTTGTGAGACTGTGCTTAATAACAGGAAACCTTTATAACTGATAAGCAGTATTTTAATATTTAAAAGCAATCTGTAAATTCTATGTAAGCAGTATGTCTATCGAGCTATCCCAGGGAGCTCCTGATATTTGTTCATCTCTCTCTATGTGGTTGTAGCACATTATCATCCTATGATGTGCTACCTGGGATTTGCGTCCACACAGAGATGTAGCCACGTAACTTTCGCCAGGTTTTGCACTATTCCTTGAAAGAAAAACAAGGAAAAGCATAAGGCAATGAAAAACATAGATAGCCAAGAAAATAAAAAAGTCATTTTGCTTTTAAAATAATGGTAATTTTCCATTGTGTATGCAGCCATGGGTTTTGTTTTTAATCGTGTTTATAACTCTAGGGAAAGGGCTGTTATTCATTATGTCTCATTGAATTGTCATGTCTGAGTTCAGAAAACACTTGTGTTTGTTAGAACAATGAAATAACCCAAATCCAGTACACAATGAAAGTTTTTTAGTCCCCTTAATACCTTAGGATTATGGAGGTGTAAACATCACCAAATTTAAAACACAAGCATGTTTATATTCTTCTGGCTCTCAAAGACTACAAAAGTTTTGTTTATACTGAGATAGTCTACTTAATTTCTCAGGGTAATCTTCCATCTTAAATTTCTTAATTCTAATGGCATACACTATACTTTGATGATTTTTTTCCTCCTTTTTTCCACAGTACATCTAATCTAAGTAGTTGAGATGGTTTCAAAACCAGAGAAATGCCTAGGAGTTCCTGACTCCTGAAAATATTCTGCTCCTGTTTTTCTCTGCCTCAGTGTTAATTATGACATTCCCACGTGTAACCACAGTAAGAAAAACTCCACCTTCACATCATCAACAGACTGGATCTTTCTAATTATAAACCACTACTTAAGGCATAAGGGACACATACACACACACACACACACACACACACACACACAAGCTGTACCCAAGCTTTTGACATTTCAGCAAGAACCCTTTGAAATTAATGATCAACTTTAGCATTTTCTATTATTTTTCAAGGAAATGCATATATTGAGAGATTCAAAGGAATTCCTCTAAAACAGGTGTTCTATTATGGAGAATTTCAGATGTATGAAAGGTGGTCAGGGCAGGTTAAAAAGGAATTTTAGCTGATGTGGTACTAAAGATATTCCAGGCTATAAAAAAAGAATGTTCCATGCTAAAATTCTTTTGTATTTTAATGCGCAAAATATTGAAAGTGATAAAGATAATGATAGTATCAAAACACTCCATCCTTTTACATATAAGTTATCTTGAGTTTTTAAAAAAGCAAAACAGAACAAAAAAGGTGTAAGTAGTTGCATAGTTGCAAGCTCCAAATTCTCAACATTCCATGCTTTCCACTGGGGATGAGGGCAATATGGTGAAACAGAGTTGAGGAGTAGGTAATTGGGGGGGGGAGGGGCTTTTGCAGAGTCCCTAGAATAGTAACTCGTAATAAACACAGTCCACCTTTATTATAGCCCATAACTTAATTCTCCTATCTAGGGACTTTCTCTGCTCACAGCAAATGTCATCAACCAAAGCACATAAGGGCAATCTCCTAACCCTCTACTGCTGCCCTGAGCTGGGGATTATTTACTCTGTTTGCTGGGCTTGCTTTGTTTGATTTGGTTGGTTGTTGTGTTGTGCTGTGGTGTGTTGCGTTGTGTTGTATTGTGTTGTGTTGATCCAGTCCTCTCATACTTCGGAAAGGAAATGTGGTATCATGGAAGACAACATCCTATATGCTCAACTGTATTGTTATGTACTGGTTCTACAATTCACAGTGATTAATTTACCATCTTTGAACCTTAGTTTGTAAAATGGAAATCAAATATTTTATCCCATCTACTTCACAGTCTTTGCTAGGGAAAAAAGTAAGTCTTCACAATAATGATTATGTAGAAACAATTCAGCAAGACCCAAGGACATTTTGTGCATTGGGGTTCATACTCTTCCCTCTGAACAATGATTATCTCCAGAAAAACAGCAAAACTTCCTATAGATGGAAAGAGCTATTGGCCATGTTTTAATCAGAATGCCAGATACTTTAATAAGCAATAGGGGAAAGTGTCGCTACAGCGTCAGCCTTGCTCTGAAGGGACAGAGTGGAGATGGCAGTCCATTAACCTAGAGCTGCTGTTCAGTGACACACACAACAGCTAAGTTGGACACAGAGAAATCCTCTATCCATGTCCAGTGAGTTGTAACAAACCCAAGTTAAGATGTAGCTTGATACAGGTTTAGTTATATGAGTTTGTGCCATCAGAGGAAGCTGAGCACAGAGCACATGGAACCACACTGTGATGGTTTGGAAGTTCTTGTGAATTTACAGTTATTTCAAAATTACAAGTTTAAAAAAATAATCCTCCGAATGTGTTTTATCATAAATCCTTCTCAAAGATAATTTGCTTATTAAACAATATCATCAAATGAAAAATAGTCATTTTACATCATACTTTATGTAGGCAGAAAACAAATAAGATAGGTAGGAGAAAGTAGAAGTAGAGGGGCTTTGAAACAAGCCTGATCCACTTTGGAGTTTCTTTTTTTTTTTCTTTTTTTTTTTTTTTTGGCTAGCCTTGAACTCAGAGATCTACCTGCCTCTGATTCCTGAGTGCTAGGGCACTAAAGGAGTGTGTCACCAGCACCAGGCAACTTAAGATGTCTAAAGGACTGGCCCAGATGTTGAGGAATTCAGTTAAAGAACTCCAGGAAAACTTATCAGACTGCCTGGTCTTTGCCCTGGAGCCTATCCTGGTGTAACTTCTTAGCAACTATCTAAGAAGAGAAGAAAGGGAAAGACAGACATCTCACAAAAGCTCATAAACTTGATGAATACATTTAAACAGACCCACACCGACATACTCACCCACATCCAAATGTGGGAGAATAAATTTCCAAAAGCACAGGCTATGGGACAGCTAGTGTTCCAAGTCAATTTTGTGAAGGTTACTACAGTTTTGTACTATTCTCACTCTGAATTTGGGCTCACAGTTTTAAGTGTGATAAAGTAGATAAAGAATTAATAAATCTGTGTCAACATATTATCACCTGAACAAAAGGAAACAAATTATGTTTGTGAAGAAAAAAAAAACAGTTGGCATTTAAGCAACTTAATTTCAAGCTTCATGGTGGTGGTTTTTATATTTCCCATTTATCGTGAGCTTTCCATGAACCAGGAACCATATTAAATATCCACAAATACCTCATGTTCCCCCATGACTTATGAGATGTTCCTACCTTAAAGTAGAATACAGATAATGAGGAATGTTCTCTAGTACATCCTTGGCTCTACTTTCTAAAAAGTGTTGCAAAAGAGAGTTGAATCCAAGTCTGTCTCCTTAAGGACACTCTGCCAGGAAAGCATGATTTGGTCCTAATACTTCTAAAATTATAGTATCTTAGAATTAAAAGGCACTTTGCAGACACCCTGGTCTACCTCACCTGCTTTCATACCAATTACATAGTGCCCATTTCAGAATCTGAGCAACTCAAGGTCTCAAAACCAGAAATCCAGGTTTTCTACCTCATAGGATGAGGCAAGGCAGTGGAACACATGCACCCTCAGTGTCCATGAGTGTCTTCTTATGGACTGGTGTGAGGCTCTATGTACCAATTAATGCATACCAACAATGAGGGATTAGCATACAGATGTTAATAACTTTTATGTAGAGAAACACTTTTGTTCCTAACCATACAGCAAGTGCCAATAAATACCAGCTTTGGTCTTGTGTCAGCTCCCTCCTCCCTCCTCCCTTCTCCCTCCTCCCTCCTCCCTCCTCCCTTCTCCCTCCTCCCTCCTCCCTCCTCCCTCCTCCCTCCTCCCTCCTCCCTCCTCCTTGGCTGTGACCTCCCTCCTCCTTGGCCGTATCCTCCCTCCTTCTTGGCTCCCTCATCCCTCCTCCATCGATACCTCCTTCCTCCTCCCTGGCTACATCCTCCCTCACTAGTTCCACAGCCCCAAGAGCACCATCTCTTACCTGATTTAGTGAGATCCAAAGCTACCTCTTACTATTCAGTTCTACAGGTGCAAACTTCTCCCGGGTAAAATACCCAGAATCTACCCTTGACACCAGGAGTCCTTTTCTTCTTTGCTCAAAAACAACAGCAAGTTATGAAGACTTCAGGTTTAGGTTTTGATCTCTAACCTCATAAACAACAACAATTTTTTAAAAAGCAACAAAGAAGAGGACAATATAGAGTAAACTCTCCTATAATTGTGTTAGGAAATGGTATTTTCTTGTTACTACTTGTGCTGTAGTACTGGGTTATTACGTGAATTTCATTTTATGATTGTTTCAGTATTTACCTGAAGTAACTGAGATCTCTCGTGTCGCCACTCTTGTGTTTTAATGATTATATCTTATATATCTTTTAGAAGTAATAAAAAAACCTTTTGAGAGTTCATCGAGAAAGGGGCTCCCTCTCAGGGCTCTTTCACTGGCTGCTCTGGGTCATGTGGCACCCTGCCTCTGGCTATGGTACATTTCCTTTCTGCCTGTCTTCCATGTGGTTCTTCCAGGAACTAGAGTATTCATTCAGTGTAGACCTTGGCCTCAGCCTCCTCCCCAAGTCAGCTCTATGTCCACCTTTAGTCAAGGTGCCCAGTGAAAGACAAATGTCACCCTCATGATTCACTACAAAAAGGGACAGCAGAGATTCTGGCACATTCTTCTCAATGGTGAGATAAGCTATTTTTAAAAGGTAGTTGACATTTTAAGTGATTTGATATTTTTGTTAGTGGACCCATAG